ATGTGACCTACATTTTCCAGATGAGTGACCAGGTTAAAGTTTTTGGAGCAGGTCCCTTCCCAAGTAACTATAAGCCCTACCTGGACCAAACCTTCTTGGATGATGCGTCTAGGGATGTACACTAACCAACTTGCTTTGGATGCTGGATCCAACCTAGATTTTCCACATGAGTGAATTTTAGCCATATTTTAACCAAATTAGTATGGATGATGTATCTAGGGATGGACACTTCCAGACTTGCTTTGGATTCTGAATCTGACCTACATTTTTCAGATGAGTGACCAGGGTAATTTTTTTGGAGTAGCTATATAATATTCATGGCCTGTTATGATTTAAATTGCATAGATGGTGCATATAAGGATGAAAACTTCCAGACTTGCGGATGTTGGAACTGACCAAAATTTTCTTGATTAGTAAACAGGTTAAAAGTTTTTTGAGCAGGTCTATTTCCAAGTAACTATAAGTTCTTAACTTAAACCAAACTTGCATGAATATTGATCTTGGGATGTACACTTACTAGAAAAAAAAATATCATGTGAAATTTGCCTTACTTATTGATAACATTCGTTGAGATGAGCTTCGTAATCTTTGATTACCTATGTTTTTATGTCCTAATTGGAGTGTGCCTTGCGAGGGGTTAATAATGGCCTGCATGGGACACAATGGTTTTTCATAATTTGTGGAAGAGGGCATCTAGTGTAATTGCTAATTTTAAAAAAGCATAGATAAAAAAGTATAAAAACACCTTGAAGTAAACAGAATTCTTAAACATTTTTTACTTGATACTGTTTGGTATTAATTACTCTGAAAACATCTTTTGCATGCATAATACTGCATAGAATTATTCTCTGACAAAAGGTATGAAATCTGGAACAAAGATGTTGACAGCTGTTCTTAAGCACCTCGTTTGTTGATGTTTCTTCTGTTTTTAAAGATGACAATTGAAATTAATTCTACACGGTAGAAACCGATCGATAATTCTGACATTGACATCATCCTGGTGGTGAATCTTGTCATGTCTTTATTTTTCTTCTTTCTAAATTGAGGCATGATAGAGATTTTTTAAAATAGCTTTAGTTATGAAAGAATTAATTTTCTTTTGAAAAGACAAGTTATAATTTTTTCCTTTTTTATGTAAATAACAAATAATTGGGGGGAGATTGAGTTATTGTGCATATCTTCATTGATTCTCTATCAGAGAAAGATTTTGTTTTGAAGATATACTGGTATAAAATGCATACAACTATACATGTAACTAAATTTTAAACATGAAGTATGTGACATACATCTGAAGAAAATCAGGTCTACTATATTTGCTACCAACAGACAAAATTCAAAAGATTTACCGTATATACTTGCCTATAAGTCGTTTTTTTGGGAGTTAAACTTTGGTCCAAAAATCTGTGTCCAACTTACAGGCGAGTCATAAAATGATTGGTATTTTAGAGGGTCAATCCCTCTAATATAAGCTTAAAAAATGCAACCGACTTATAGGCAGACAGACTTATAGGCTAGTATTTACGGTAGCTCACCTGAATTAAAAGCTAGTTGGCTTTTCTATTACCAGTTGCCTAGAATCTGTCTGTCTTTAAATGTCTGTCTGTAAACTTTTCACATTTTTTGACTTCATCGTGACAACCACCAGGAAGTTTTAAACCAGTTTGGTACAAAGCATCCATGGGTGAAAGGGGACTCTAAATTCTAATTCTAAATTCAAATGAAGGACCAAACCCCCTTCCAAGGGAAGATAATCAAGAAAAAAAGGCAAAAAGTTGGGGGTTTTAAATAATCATTAAAATTTTTTCTCAGGAACCATGTAAAGCTTATTTTCAGGAAAATAGTTTGTTTTCCATAACTACAAGGTCATAATAGTCATATTGATATTGTGTGGGTTCAGAGACCCCTAAAAATTAGGGCCATAATATGGGATCACAATTTTTCATGGGAGTATAAAGGAGTAAATCTTTTTTAAAATCTTACTTAGAACAGCAGGGCTAGAGTAATTCAGATGAGCATTGTGGCCCATGGGTCTCTTTTTTTTTAAGTATCATGGAAATCTGACCAACATTTTGAACCTTCTGAAATACTAGTCTTTAAAATTATATCGCTATAGTTTTAATTTCACTATTTTTGTGATATATTTTTAAATTAACTTTGTAAAGCATCGCAAGGACCTAGACATAATGTTATGTGATATATATGCCATGTTGTAATAATTAGTTTGTTTGAGCAGCATCCAAACTCTGTAACTTTTTTAAGAACCCGACCTTGTTAATGAAGCACTTGGTCAGTGAGCTTGCATATCACAACTTATTAAGAGTGTTTTGACAGTATTACCCATGTATATAACAGCAACTGTTTAATAGGTTATGGAATATAGAACAGTCCTTTGGCCAGTTCCTAATATTGTACCACTTCAGTGGTGCTGTAAAAAATTTTTTAATTTTTTTCAATGCTGTCCAAAGACTTGATTAAAATATAGCTTCATCAAACTTAAATCTTCGAAGGAAACTTTGAGCAAGTTACATGTAACATGGGTAGTCATTTAACCAGTTGTAAATAAGCAAATAAGTTCAGAATACCTTAGTGCTTCCTATGCAAATTGACCCTAAATTAAAAAAAAAAAGATGTACATCATCATTTGACATGCCTAGGAAAAGTTAAATAAATGCCAAAATTAATGGTATTTCCAATTGATAAAGAAAATTAGCATTCAAGTCTACAAGGAGGAAAATAAATATAGTGGTTAGGCCACATAAATTTAATTCTCTGGTTCTCAGGCCAATTTTCTCCAAAACAGATGCGGGCGGGAGACCTTATTTTTTTTATCATTTTATTGATGATAAAGTAGATGAGGGAGGTATTTTTTTAATACCCGAATTTTCTATACAATTATGATAAAAATTCTTTGATCATGATATACTTTCCATACTTTCCATGTCTGATCAATAGGTTAAAAAAAATGCATTATCCATTGTTTATCAACATGTGAACATCGTAAGCATTATCTTCAAGTGTATTTTTTTAAATGAAGTAGCCAAGTTTTCTTTGAAAATGGCTACCAGAAGTGATATTCGAGTACTAATTACTACAAAAAAATGAGGGCAGAACTTTTTTTCCGGATTGGTCTCCGCATTACCAACTTTTTATTTTATCAAAAATACAATAAAATTTGGAATGTGGCTACCTCAAAATGGTTGCGCGGGGGCCTGAGAACTGTAATTTCAATTTTATATAGCCTTATTAAGTGTATTTGGAACTGGTAAAATGACAGCATGAAAATATTCTGATAATGATCTATTATTTAATTTTCCACAAGTTTTTTGTGTTTGTTGAAATACATATTATGCTTATTTTTGATAACTGAAATGTTTGGATGGTTACATTTGAAAAATTAAAGGATTCTTGGATGATTATCTGTAGAAAAACACGTCACAATGATATGAATTTATTGCATGGTAAAGTTGGTCAACTATTTCAAATGCATGTGCATCCAAAAAAATAAAATGACTGAAAAAAATCAAAACATTACAGAATTCAAGCAACTGCATAAATAAGCCTATATTTTCTAGGATCATTTTATTTTACACTTTAAATATATAAATTATCAGTTCCTAATTAAATCATTGATTATTCAGCTGGTCAAAATTCAGAACTGGCCTAAAGACTCTAATAAAGTAAACATGGCAAATTCCAGTTTCTGTAGGTGTCCACTTAATGTACACATCAGTTAAACTTGTTGCTTTTCATTTGATTAAATTTTAATTTTATGATCAGACCACTCATGTGTTCTTATGTGAACTGTGTAAAACCATAAGGGGTGGTTAGTGAATCTAATAACAATATTTATAAGTAAGGTTTCTTCAACCTAGCAAATTGATTAATCACAGTAATAAGTAATCGTTTGATTTATTTAAGACACCATAATACATATATGAGTGTTTTTTGTTTTATAATATACTTGTGTCATTCACAAAATGTTTTTGCCATGGCAAGTGATACACTTATTGATGGTGACCTAGCTGAGAAATTCTGAAATGGGGACCAAAAATTTTTTTTTAGGTCCCCATTTATCGACTTGGTAGTAAATGTGACTTGGAGCAATGCATCAGTGTTCTGTATATATCTTCCCTTATCCCATCTGGAGTAGAACTCCTTGGTTTTGATAGGTGCAACCTATTGGCAAGAAATCTGCATATGGCATATTACACATATTGCATACTAACTGCTGTAGATCATGCACAAATTTTTTTCAGATGTTTTGTTAATAAAGTAAAACCATATGAAACAGTTAATTGGGATTTCGTAAGAAGAAGTGTGTTTCGTAAGACACTAGAGGTGTGTACATCTATATGAGTGGAATGAGATGATGGTTTTTAACATTCTTCATTGTAGATAAAACATTTTGAAAAGTTAGTTAATGGGGATGATGAAGAAAATATGGAAGATATTAGATTTTATGCAGGTACAAATCAAGATCAGGGGTTGTGTTTAACTAAATTTTATTCTAGGTTTCAATCTTCTCTCCTTAATTTTATGTTTGGCAGATAACCCAAATTGGCACTTGAGACCTTCATGTTCGACATACAACCTTGTTCTGGCTACTCTCTGGTCAGACAATGTCTGACTCCAGCCAATCAACCTGTACCTCTTAATTAATTGTTTTACATCAGACATAGTTCACATTTCCTACTTCCTAAAAGCAGGTGCTTGTATTCAGTTTGTGTTTATTATAGATGAATGGTGTAAATGCATTTCTGGTCATTTTTTTCTTTTATCTGGAGTTAGATTCATTGATGTTTAAAAATTAAAAACTTTTAAAACTTGGTATGTATGTTATTTCAGTAACTATAATATATGATTACTGATATATAAAAAAAGAAGTAAATTTAGTATCATGAGTCAGTAAATATGCTATATACTTAAGTTTTTATCTTACTTCATTGTAAGGTAATAACCAATAAGACATAACCAATATAAACTTTTCTTTTAACCTTTAGATGCAGACCTTGAAGCAGCTGCACTTGACCTTGATGGAGTTGTGAGTATTTTTAAAGAAAAATTCTTTTTCTTGAGAGACTGAAGAAATTAAGTCCAGATAATTTTCTTTTCCATTTGAAAGTGTAAAAATTCTTCCAAATTTTTTTATATATATAGTCTCTAGGATTAGAGGATACTTTAATAGGAAATGATAATTTTTTTAACATGAGTATATGGAACAACAGCAGAGTGGTGTGGTGGATTTGTTAAGAAAAACTGGGATTAATCTAATAACGACTTTCTTTGTAGTTCATGCATTTCTCTTCCTGATTTAAGTTGATAAAAACACAGAAAAAAATATTTCTAGGAAAAATTGATCAAAGGAATTGAAACTGGAAAAGAAATGTATTTTTATGGTTTGCAAGCAAGGTAATCTGAAACTGACAGAAGCAAGGAATGGGGAATGTTTTCAACAGGTTGAATTAGACTTTTCCTTTCCCTTACATATGTACAAACAATTTACCTGTCAGGTATAGGTGAATAGATACATAGGTTTTGATAGGAACTGACTTTCACCAGAACAAAGCTATTCTCCTGATGCTATAATCACCTCAAATAAGAATTATTTGTTGGAGAAAATACTTGACAACATTTCAACAAAAACTTTATTTTATTTGCTAAATAGAATTCAAAAGCAGGTATCCTGTACTCTAATTTACATGTAAAGTAAATGAAGTCATATATATATTTACACTAATTTGAGACCTGTAAATTAAATTTGGGATTTTGTGTGCTCTGTAACACGTACATTGTATCAAGTTCATTGATTGCAATTTTGTTGAACTGGAAGAATAAACAAAAATATTGTTAGGTCACCTGAGTCACTCAGATGACCTATTACTATCTGTTTTTGTCCATCATATTGCTGATGTGCATCATTTTTCTTGCGTAAACATTTGAACATTTTCAGGTTCTTCTCTGGAACTACTGAAGCAATTTCAACTAATTTTGGCATAAAGCATCTATTAGTAAAAGAAGAACAAAGTTTTTTAAGTTTCACGATAAAATTGTTAATTTCATGATCCCTGCTCCCCAGGGGCCTGAGGGATGGGGCTAAACCCATTAAAATTAATGCAATCTTTGAAAATCTTCTTCTTCACTCCTACACTTCAAGCAATTCAACTGCTGCCATGGTTGAAATAAGCATTGAGCACTCTCCCATTCTTCAAAAATCTTATTCTCTACCCCTGTGTATTAAGCAGATAAACTATATGCATGCATGATTATGATGAGCAATGGTATCTCTTCCAAAATTGTGAAATATGAGGCCTCAGGGTTCTGTTTGGTGAGGAGAGGGGGGGGGGTCTATTGATTATATACTAAAAATGCATTATTTTTTTGAAAATCTCCTTCTTTGCTCCTGGGTAGTAAGAAAAGAAAATAAGTGCATGCAAATGATATGCTAGGCCGCCTTTTCCAAAATTATGAATTTCGTGACCCCAGGATCAGGGATTCTGGTGTTAGGACAGGGCTGTATTGATTATATAATGAAAATACATTATTTCCTTGAAAATCTTTTTCTCTGCTCCTTGGAATTAAGCAAACCAACTAATTACACAGTTATGATCTGCAAGTGTTTCTCTTCCAAAATTATAAATTTCATGGCCCTTGTGTGTGGGTTCTGGTGTTAGGATAGAGAGCTATTGATTATATAATGAAATGCTTTAATTCTGTGGATATCTTCATTGCTCCTGGGTATTTAGCAGATAACTAAGTGCATGGTTATAATGAGCAAGGGTACTTCTTCCAAAATTGTGAAATTTGTGGCCCACGGGTCACCTGCCCTTATAATGGAAAGGGGATAGGGCTATATTGATTATATTGTGAAAATGCATTATTTCTTTGAAAATCTTCTTTTCCTGGGCATTAAGCAAACATAGTTATGATGAGCAAGGGTGCTTCTTCCAAAATTCTGAATTTCATGTCCCTTGCAATGGGTAAGGGGTTCTAGTGTCAGGGTGGGTCTCTATAGATCAAATGGTGAAATGTGTAAATTCTTTAAATATCTTCTTCTCTGCCCCTTGGTATTTAGCTGACAAACTATTTGCATGGTTATGATGAGTGAAGATGCAGCTTCCAGAATTATGATATTCATAGCACCTGGGATGGGGGTATTGATGTTTGGGGCAGAGCCATGTTGTCTAAGGAGAATATAGTGAAAATGCATTTTCAAAATTCAAAATCTTTTAAGCCCTTGGGTATTTAGCAAACATACTAGTAAGTTCAAGGTTATGATGTGCCAGGGTGCTTCTTCCAAAAATATAATGGCCCCTGGGTTAGGGGCTCTGGTGTTAGAGTGGGACTCTATTGATTACTGTAAATCACTTTTTATTTGTGAAAACTTTATTTTTGCCTAATAACATGAGACTGTCTGCCAGAATTTGTGAAAATTTTGTCTCGCTTATAAATACTAAATACATTTCTCATGAAAATAAGGTGTTGTGAAAATTTGGTGATCTACAGTATATAGTAAAAATGCATTATTTCTTTGAAAATCTTCTTCTCTGCTGCTGGGTATTCAGCAGATATGATGATCAAGGGTGCCTCTTCCAAAATTGTGAATTTCATGGCCCCTGGGTAATGGGTTAAGGTGGGGCTGTGATTAATTTGTTGTGAAAATGCATTATTTCTATGAATATCTTCTACTCTTCTCCTTGAAAAACAGTGTACAAAGTTGTAATAAGTATGGGTATTTTACAACATTCTGGACCTCTTGGTCAATTAAGAGTTCTGTTGCTGGGCAAGGCTCTGTTAATTTGTATTCTTCTGAGAAAAGTTATTCCCCTTTACTATTTACATATATATGAATATTACTGTAAATAATCTCATTGAAAGGTCATTTGAATAAGAGAATTACAAGAAGTTTTATAATATATGGTACAGAAAGTACTTTCATTGATTTTAATGGTCACATAGACTTGTAAATAATAGATAAATAAAAAAAAAAATGACACAAAATACCATATCTTTGTATGTATTTAATGTTCTTCAAAGATCAAGAGAAGACATTGTGAGAGAGAATTAGATGGATTCAAGAATTGTTTGTGTGTATACATGTAGTGATAGTGACAATTTGGGGCAAGTGCAGGCAAGAAGATAGATCTACTTTAAGATTTGTTACTGAGTACTCATCCTCTTTCTCTTGGGCAGCATAACTTCATCTATCAGTTTATATATTATTATTCAGTTTTGTTAGCTCACCTGAGCTGAAAGCTCAAGTGAGCTTTTCTGATCACATTTTGTCCGTAGTCCGTCTGTCCGTCCGTCCATCCGTCCGTCCGTCTGTAAACTTTTCACATTTTCGACTTCTTCTCCAGAACCACTGGGCCAATTTCAACCAAACTTGCCACAAAGCATCCTTGGGTGAAGGGGGTTCAAGTTTGTTCAAATGAAGGGCCATGCTCTCTTCCAAGGGGAGATAATTAAGAATAAGTGAAAATTTGGGTCTTCTTTTAAAAATCTTCTTCTCAAGAACCACAGGGCCAGAAAAGTTGAAACTTATGGGAAACCCTCGTTACATAGTGTAGATTCAAGTTTGTTCAAATCATGACCCCCGGGGGTAGGGTGGGGCCACTATGGGGGATCAAAGTTTTACATAGGAATACATAGGAAAATTCTTTAAAAATCTTCTTCTCAAGAACAACAAAGCCACAATTAGTCATATTGATATGAAATCATCCTCAGGTAGTGTAGATTTAAGTTTGTTCAAATCATGACCCCCGGGGGTCGGGTGGGGCCACAATGGGGGATCAAAGTTTTACATAGGAATATATTGGAAAATTCTTTAAAAGTCTTCTTCTCAAGAACAACAAAGCCACAATTAGTCATATTGATATGAAATCATCCTCAGGTAGTGTAGATTCAAGTTTGTCCAAATCATGACCCCTGGGGGTAGGGTGGGGCCACAATGGGGGATCAAAGTTTTACATAGGAATATATAGGAAAATTCTTTAAAAATCTTCTTCTAACAAAGCCACAATTAGTCATATTGATATGAAATCATCCTCAGAGTAGTGTAGATTTAAGTTTGTTCAAATCATGACCCCCGGGGGTAGGGTGGGTCCACAATAGGAGATCAAAGTTTTACATAGGAATACATAGGAAAATTCTTTAAAAATCTTCTTCTCAAGAACAACAAAGCCACAATTAGTCATATTGATATGAAATCATCCTCAGGTTGTGTAGATTTAAATTTGTTCAAATCAAGACCCCCGGGGGTAGGGTGGGGCCACAATGGGGGATCAAAGTTTTACATAGGAATATATAGGAAAATTCTTTAAAAATCTTCTTCTCAAGAACAACAAAGCCACAATTAGTCATATTGATATGGAATCATCCTTAGATAGTGTAGATTCAAATTTGTCGAAATCAAGACCCCCAGGGGTCGGGTGGGGCCACAATGGGGGATCAAAGTTTTACATAGGAATAAATAGGAAAAATCTTTTCAAGAACAGGAAAGCCGTGATTAGTCATTTTGATATTGAAGCATCCCCAAGTATTGTAGATTCAAGTTTGTTCAAGGCATCCTCCAGTAGTAGGGTGGGGCCATAATCGGGATCAAAGTTTAACAAAAGAATATATATAAGAAATATCTTAAAAAATCTTCTTCTCAAGAACAACAAAGCCATAATTAGTCATATTGATATGGAAGCATCCTTAGGTAGTGTAGATTCAAGTTTGTTCAAATCTTGAACCCCCTTCCCTTCCTCCCCCCCAGGGTAGGATGGCAGACATCTTTAAAATTCCGTTTCAAGAATAGCAAAACCATGATTAGTTATATGAATATAGAAGCATCCTCAGAAAGTTTAGATTCAATTTCATTCAAAACATGGCAACTGGGGATAGGTTATGCCTAGAACAGTTGATCAAAGCTTTACGTATGAATATATAGAAGAAGAAATCTGCTGACAAAGAACAGCAGGGCCATATTGACTCAGGTGAGCGTTGTGGCCCATGGGCCTCTTGTTATACTTCTGGTGATCCTTTACAGTGTTGTATTAT